CATTCTGCAACAATGTTTTCAAATTCTGCTTCTGTCACTGTTACGTGCCGTGAGGAAACTTGTCCTTAAAAAGAGAAGTAATAATAAGAACATTTCCACACACACGCGCGCACTCGCACACGCACACGCGCAGGTACGCACGCACGCACGCATGCAAACACACACGCACATATACACATACACACAGATATTTTGTACATTTAATATCTTGAAACATACATACTTTTAATTATTTTTATTAACTTTAAGTCACAGATTTTAAAATTGTCTCTTCTGCCTTTCCATGAACAATCCATGGCACATTCATTTGTGAAGACATTCTTCAAAATTCGATGGATATTATCTCTCGGATTGTTTCCACCAATTCTTGATAAAAATCTTTTCTATAAAAACATTTTTCATTCGTTAATATATTTAAATGTATTGTACTATCACGCTAAAATTTTAAGGCAAAGACATATAATATAAATTATTAATATATATGGAAGAATTATCTAAAACCAGATCAATTATACATTGAAGATTGCGAATTAGAGATCAAAATTCAATCAATTAGAACAAAAAATATTAAAGTTAAAATAATCTGATCAGGTCAAATTCTAGTCTTCAAATCGTAATTCTCAATCTGTAATATATATTATCCGATAAAGACTTAATATTTATGTTCAGCAAAAAACAGGTTTACAGTTCTAATATTCTTTTATATGGAACATGTTTAGCAAATAAAACAGATCAGAGTGAGCGCTAAGTCTTTATTATGATTATGGTTTCTAACTTAAATTCAGAAGAATTAAAGACAAGAACTAATAATATTAAAGAATCACTAAGCAATTTACTGATCGACTTTGATTGCTGAACGTATGGTTTATATATTAGGTTCATATATTAATCTTGATTGCATCAACGTTACTTGAATTTCAAGCGAGGCTTAAAACTCTCACTTTCTCTCTTTATAGTCAAAAGAGCGGGAGAGATAGAGAAAGTTGTAAGTCTCGTTTAAAGTCAAAGTAATGTTGGTGCAACCTTTATACACTTAGAGCGATCCAGTGAAGAATTAAGTTAAGACAAGAATCAATCATATGTTAACGAATCTTATAACAGTTTAAAGATATTCTTTTGTGTTAAATTTCAATAAGCATATAACTCATGCCTTATCAACTTTTTTTTTATTGTTAAATTAAATTAAAAAACCATATATATAGAACCATTATATATAATAAAAATGATTATAAATAAATATAAAAACTTACAAATTGGGTTTCTGCTTCTTCCGTATTTATCAATATATCTTCTATATCTCTGATGCTTTGAATTGTGTTAAGAGGAAAAAATTGCACTATGAAACTGTCATCACTTTCCTTTGGATGTTGTAGCGTTTGATTTTTTATTATATCTTCAAGTTTTTTTAATCGTTCATTATTATCTTTTAATGTTAGATTGCTTACCGCTATTATACGCTTTATCTCTTTTAGGCTATCTATAATATTATATAATGACAATCTTATATACGCAGTATATAAAAGATAGAAGTATTTTATAACTAAAATGAGAGAAAATAGTGTAAAAAAATTATATACCTTTTATCGAGCTCGAGTCAATAGAGGTGTACTGAGTAGTACCATCTAAAATATTTTAATGTATGTATATGTATATATAATGTATATAATCCTACCTATATATTGTCAAAATTAAGTTTACTGATTTTTATTGTACGTACCTTGTATTATTATAGGCACATTTTGCAATGATGTAAGCACTTCTGGTGTGTCTACAAAAGTATTGTCGCTGATTATCAGTCAATCTATTTCCTCTTCAGTTAATTTATATCACAATTATTATACTTTATATATAATATAATAGCAAAAAACTTATAACATGGCATACATTTTCTGTAAACTGTCGTTGAAAAAAATGTTGAAAAAATGCTTTAAAAGTTTCAGGACACAAAAAGGTTTACGTTTAGAAATTTTTGATTCGTCAAATTGTACTCCTGATCATTCACAAATACTTAAATTGATGATGTTAGTAGCGATAAAACACAATAAAAATTCTTGTATAATAACCAATATTTTTCAATGCAGCCGTATTTCCATTTGACACTTGCTTATATATGTACTTATTATTATTATACTATTATTATGTATATACTAGCTATTATTATTATATATTATTGTTATTTTTATATTACTATAACATCACATATACGTACTGTGACGTGACATTTTGTCAGTCACCCAGAAAAACAGCATAACGCGAGATCCTGGGTCCTTCAGGGTCAACGGGCGAGCGCACAAGCTAATGTGCGACATTATTATTTAATTTTATTTCATTTTTGCGATTATTGTATTATTTAATTGGTATTCCCTTTGTGCGATTGTTGTATTATTTTCCTTTTTTTCTTCTCTGTGTAGCTATTTAGTTAAGTTTTAGCTAACGTTAAGACAATCCTGAGTTCGGATTTCATTATTAAGTACGATCAAAGCCGGTGGCTATTTTGTCTCTCTGTGTTTGACCGCCTCACCTATCACGAGAAGAAAGAAGACGTCGCCTGCTGCGAGGGAGACATTGCTGTCAGAGGAATTCGACTGGAATCACGGAAAGCGCGTTACACGCAGATCGTATTATTTCATATTTGTTACTGTAATGTCGCCATTCTTCTGTGAATTATCGCACGATTATTGCAGACGCCTCGGAGAGAGACGTCAGCTGGGAACGGATTAACAGGCAGGACCTCCGCCGAAGCGCCGTATCCCGTAAAGATCACAGGAAGATCCTCGAGCGACCAAAAAGCATTTTTCCGCCTTATTTGGAAAAGCGCGCCACAGCGTAAAAGGATCTGCGACACGCAAGGACCCGCGGGATTCGTCGCGAGGTCGCGCGGTTGCGGCGAGCCAATTAGAGCAAGCAGAGGCCGATAAGAGAGGGCCTGACGACCTGCGTGAATCCGCGGAAACTTCCGATCGGCACTTGTGCAGTGACGGACCTCGAGTAAGGACGCAGGATCTCGCCCATAATTTGGCAGGAATTTCGAGAATATTCGTCGAAGATGAGCACTGCTATCGGCTCTCGTACAGACTTTGAAGGAAGCGGCTGAGGAGGAGTAACGCCTTGGTGAGGCGAGCGTTATTCGTTTTATTGTAAAGTCACCGATCGCGTAATCTTTTGTGAGCGTCTTGAGCGGATCGCGTGTGAGAATTTACGCGGATTTGATTCGGTCGATGTCGTACCGGCAAAGAGTAACGTTATTGTTTCTGTCGATGAGCGCGTGCCATCCGCTCGAGCGTAAGAGTTCGTGAACTCAGGATTGTCGTTATCGCTCGCCCGTGTCACTGCCAAGTCATATCGTTCGTATTACTTGTTGAGATTCCGGTTTGTTTAAGAATTAGAGTCGAGCCGCGTGTCACCGCTCAGCATTAGGCTGTCGGTTTGCGGGAAGTTCCGAGAGTCGGACATTTCTAAGTACCGTCGAC